GAGCGAAGAAAGCAAGAGGGAGCAGAGCAGAGAGGAAAAAGCATGCCCATCAGACCAGAGCTGGAAAGTGGAGGGGATTTGCGTGAGATGGAGGAGTTCTATCAGACCGGCTGTGGGAGGCTGGGAGCTCAGATGGAATTGACTTTCCCCAACGACTACGCAGCTGGCGGTCACAAGTTGAGACAGGCTCCGAGTGGTGCCGAGGCTGATACGTCGAGTGGCCGCTCGTTGATCTGGGATAGCCAGACAAACGCAAGACCTGCTCCAGAGGATCGGGAAAAAGGGGGTCCAATGGTGAGGATTAGACACACTCCCAAAGTCAGGAGTGGAGGGATTCGGGACGTTGGAAGTGAGGGCTCGGCGTTGAACAGGAATACAATCGTGCCGGGCGTTGAACTTCTTGAGATGACAAGGCTGAACGAAGAATTGGTAGCTTTACGGACTCTCTTTTGCTATGCATTGCTGCTTAACCCTTAGATTAGTTATGTAGCCAAAGAGTACCAAGAAAGCGGTTGGTATGCAAAACGTACTATTTTCGAACTATGCTCCTCGTGTGTGACTCTGGCCGAAGAAAGGCCTGCCGGTTGAGTCGGTCTGTTCATAGCCATCAGAAGTCCGACTATTGGTGAAGTGGCAGCGGCGTCCGTGTTTGTCACTCAGGGGGTGGTTCTGGCTCACGGTTTATGGTTAGAGTTCTGCTGGGAGTGCTGATGATGTCAGGACCAGGGCACATTTAACTGACAAACTAAATTCCATATAGCTATGTTGCTCTATCCAGGTCAAATTCAATTTAAGAGCGCTGTTGACACCCAGACGAGGTCAAAACTGCAATACATCCTGGTTTAAAATAACTTTAAAGAGACTAAGCAAAATTTGACCACCTGATAAGGCCTATTCATTCATTGTGAGAATAATCCGAATATCCGTGCTTCATCATTTTCTTCAAGATCTGCTCATAGTCTCGAAACCTATCCACTATGAATACAAATGTGTATGGATTTGGGTACTCTTCAACAAATGTATTGTTGTAGTGCTTATCATTTTTTGCTATCGACCTAGTTCAACTTAAGAAAAAATCAAATCAATCATTTGCTCTTTATATTTACACACAGCCACACACAAATATATATGCGTGTATGCGTGTGTGTTTGTGTAGAGAAGTAAAACTTCAAGAGAATACTACGACAAGCAACTTTTCTTAAATGCCATTGAAGCTTATACAACAAATATATATATATATATATATACACACCTAAATATAAGTAGACTTCTTAAACAAGACGATTAACTCTAGTTCTTGATTTTTGTTGCTAGGATTTAATATTACATTGAAAAAAGACGAATAGTCTTCTTGACTTAGTGTTCTATTCGTATCCTCTTTACAACTATACCAATATATATATATATATAGAGAGAGAGAGAGATGGATTTTTATCGTCCTTTTTCTAATGAAACCATTCCATTCACTTAAAATGAAATGTACTAAAACAATGCTATTTGAGAAGAGTACAGAAATCTAGCCATAAAGTGGCAATAACTTAGTGGCTTCTTTACTTGTAAACATATGCATATAAATATAAAAATTAAAAATATTTATATATATGAAAAGAGAAAGATTGAATAGGTCAGTTCTTTTTCAAGTGAAACCTAGCCAAGCACCAAAAATGAAATTTACTACAACAATGCTATTTCAGGATATAACCGAAATTCATATTTTTATTTAGCAGAATTCGAAAGTATCAGTAAGTCTTGAATAGGAGCTCTGGTCACCCTAGATAGCATAAGATGATAAAGCTCTGTCTCATAATGAAGAAGTATACTTCACTTTGCAATTACATTACCCATAGCCTCTATAAATGTATTCCCATCCAGAGTGGACCGCAATTTCGAACTCGTCTGGCTCTCTTCAGTACCCCCCTTTGAATCTGTCGATAAAGTAACTTATGTTACTAAAATCGAATTTGCTACTTATCTTCAGTGGGAGAAATATTTCGAAACTACGAGTATTTCTTGAGTAAGAACCTACACAGCCTAGATTACTTAATGTGATGTTAGGAATGATAGTAAAGTTTTCCCATAATTTAATTAGTAGGCCTCACAATGTCAATGAATTTACCAAGCCTTTCTCCTTTCAGAAGTTTTTCTCATGCAAGATAAATTACACTTTTGATCTCGTCTGAGTCTAATTAACTCCCTCAGTGTAAAGCGAAATTGAACATTTGATAATAGTTAAACCCTCTTGTTCCGAAATCCAGTCTATCCTGACAAAGTCATAGTTAGGAAGATTGAAGAAGCATTCATTGAAGGTGTAGATTTTATGCCCGAGCCCAGAGTTGCTTAATCTTCTTTCCCAAAATGGTGGGCCTGGAACGGCTCTTTGATGATGGGAACGTGAGGATATATTTGAGGGTCGAAAATGCTGCTAAGGGATCAGATTTGTATGCTTCAAAACGTATGCTTGTTAAGCCTATTTCCTCTGAGCCCATTTCCATTTCGATTAAAAGTATTCATTTCGTCGAGAGGGACCCACTAGCATCTTTTGATAAGACTGATCTACAAGCATTTATTCGAAATGAAATGAGTTGAACAATTGTAAAATAAAAGATTGATGGACAAATGACTTTCAATGGTGGAGGTTACTACAATTTCGAGTGAAATTGTTTGAGAAAAAGATTCGAAAGTCGAGTTGTCTTGACTTGTTAGCTTGAATAAGGTTGTAGGTTTTATATATGAAATGTAATAACCCTATTTCGTTTAAGGTGATGACGGACTGGTAGTTACATTTTCCCACAATAATATTAGTAGAAATGACGTTTCCAATGAATTTCACACAGTTTTGCTTTGCCAAAAGTTGTTCTCATCCAGGATGAGCTACATTTTCGACTTCGCCTAGGTCTTATCAACACCACCAGTGGGAGTCGGACCATGGAAGTGAAGTGTGTAAGCTCGACATGTTAATCACTCCGTCACATTACCATGAGTGCCCTTTGGTCAAAGAGCCGATGTGAATTTCTAAGAAGGCCAGGCATTTTCCCATATCGCATTCTTTAGTGGGAATATCGATGAAGCAAGGTTATATTTGCTATAGCAATCGACTACATTAATAATTTTTGTTGTATAAGCAGAGTCTCGAGACTACCAATAAATTTGTTAAATGGGATTTTCGTAGCAAATATAATTTTGCTTCATCGACACACCCAACAAAGGGTGTGATATTGGAAAATGTCTAGACTTCTTTAAAATTCACCTCTGCCCTGTGAACCAAGGGCTCTTGTGGCAATATGAGGAATGGTTAACGTGTCGAGCTTGCTCGCTACAATGTCATGGTTCGACTCCCACTGGGGGTGTTGCTAAGGCCTAGGCGAGGTCAAAATTTTAGCCCATCCTGGATGAGAACGACTTTTATGAAAGTAGGGCTATGTGAAATTCACTGGAAACGTCACCTCTACTTATAGCATTGTGGGAAAATTCAACTGCTAGTCCTTCATCACCTTAGACGAAATAGGGTTAATACATCACATAAATGATTTACTAGTAGTCTCGGAACGCTGCTTATAAAATGAAAAATAAAAAATGATATAGCAATCGAATACATTGCTTCTTTTTAGTTTATAAGTAGGGTTTCGATACTATCTTTACTGAAGATATGAAGAACAAGATGTTGTGGCCTCTGGTATGGTCGCAGTCTCCTTTCGATGTATAGAAGTGGG